TCGAATATATTTATGCATGAAGATATGCATACCATACACGAATGGGAGACTCCTATACCAGGCTGGCCGTCATCCTAGACAAAAAATGTGCAATCCTCGCAAATATGGCCTGGTCCTGAATCGAACAGGGTACCCAGCTGGGACTGAATTTTTCCTGCCCGCATAAATCGACTGGGCGCGAGCCTTCCGCAACCAGGCCTTGTTTAACGTGGCTCGAGTCTTGGCGAATTAGCAACATACAGGCATTTGGCAGAGCCAACTGCAGCTGCATCTGTGTCGAATCCAAGAAGCGCGAAGCGGAGGTCGGTTAACTTTTCAACAGTACTTATGGCGATACTTCCTAGCCGTGCCATTTCAGAGGCTTAGGTTTAATTTAACGTTGAAAAAGATAGCAGTGGGAAGGCGACAAAAACGATTACCAATTCCTATGACGTTATCCCGAATCGAACGGGTGTCCCACTAGGACCTGGAATAGAGATCCATATTTCGTAGGCGCGGACCATCCGCTTCAAAGCCGTTTTCATCATGCTTAGAGCCACGCAAATCGGGAACGAGAGTCCCCCAGAGAAGGTTCCCAGCGATTTACCAGGGCGAACCATATGTTGAATACGGCTCGAAGCGATAAACGTATTCAAGGACAACAATTTTTTCATACAAAGAATGACAAAGACGCATCGATGTTCACCGTCGATTCAAAGCCTCAATATGGGATACGGCTCACTGAGCATGCAGACACAAAAACAGTATTGAACTGCAGATCCATAGCCTAATCCGGGGTCGAACCCGAGTCCCCCAGACAAACATTTTGTAAATTGTGAGGCGCGGACCATCCGTAAACAGGCCTTATAGAATCTGTTTTGAACTCTGGTATGTTAGCCACATGCGACATTAATAGAGTAAAAATTAAGCTGCGCTTATCTGTGCTGAATCTAGCACCAAAGCGTCGTGCGCGCAAGGCCTGTGATTGGTTCAGCAGTATGGCAACATTCAAAGGAAATTTGGTTCGGGTGAGCGAGTGGGCCGCACTAAATTATCAAAAGGAATGGCCAGGCGGAAAGCGAATATCTGGATGCTGGAAGAAGGCAACAAAAAAGCTTCCGATTTCCGCCCTTTGTTACTGGGAGTGAAATATCACGCCCATTTTACTGCCATGTCTTTTCCGCAAAAATATTTTGCTGGCTCAGTATATGTGTATGAGCTCCTCCCGAATCGACCGTCAGTTACCCCTTGTAATCGGTGTATCTTTGAACACCCAACTGGGCGCGGGCCATCCGCGACCGGGCCGAGGAGCAAAATTTGTGAATTATTCACGACGACATCTTACGGGACTCTCAGTTCACAGTCGAGAGTGATAAAAAAAGTGGCAAAGAAAAAAACTCGCCGCCTGTTCTGACGTATGGCCTAGTCCCGAATCGAACGGGGGTCCAGTTGTAATGTGCTACCCGAACAGTCATGTAAACTAGGTGCGGACCATCCGCTACCAGGCCTTCTTGACGCTGTTTTGAACCTTGGTAGGTTATCAGCATTCTGGCCTGTCGTGGCTCAAAATGTATGTTTGAGTATGCACGAGTACAATATTTTGCGAGTCTTGCCCTTTCAGTAGGCTCGTGTCCAGCCGTTAGGTGCAGGAATGACGAGCAAGCAGGTATTCCTTACCATCACCACAATTCTGGCTTGCTCGTCATTGTGAACGGATAACGGCTGGACACGAGCCTACCCTTTCAGTCTGAGAGCAATTTTACAACGGGAGAACGGGATATCCGAATACCGGAAGAGGCCGACAAAAGGTTGTGAGAACCGATAAATGGCCTGGTCCCGAATCGAACGGGTGTCCCAGTTCTGTGAAGAGTTGGGTATTCACATTTAACAGGGTGCGGACCACCCGCTACAAGGCCCTTTAAAACGAGGGTGAAACCTGGTCAATCATGACTTATTTTGATTGCAACTTTCAACTAGACATTGGCGGGATTGGTTTGAACGAGTCAATGCATGTGTTGGATTCCGCTCGAAGAAACCGAACGCACATAGTTGAATAGGGGACCGGGACCCGCAACCCAGCCTCAATTGGGTTGCTACGCCGACCGCTTTGTGTATGATGGTGAACACAACTCGAAGAGTAACTCTTTAATGCAAATGCCAGAGACGAACTGGGCTGTATCATGAATTCAATGAAAAAAACAAAGAATGTCCTATCCTATATAAATTGTGATGGGTGGGCCATGCAAAACCACGCCTCACTGTGAATCTTGGCAATCAACATCGCAGGATTTGGCTGAGCCGAATGCACAGTATGGCCTTGGGAAAAATCAGGCTGTGCCCACATTCATATGGCAATCAAGCGGGTGTCCACTTCTACTGTCTTTTTTTTAATTTTTATCTATTTTTGGCGATTTCATACAATCTGACCACTAGCACGGACCATCCACTATCACAACTTGCGAAGCTCGTTCACTCGTAAGCGGAAAAAATATAACTTCGACAGGATGGGCCATGACCTGGTCCCGAATCGAACGGGTTCCCAGTGGTAATATCAACTCTCCTCAGTGACGTTTACTGGGAGCGGTCCATCTGCGACCAGGTCAAGGAGGGTGGTTTGAACTCTGGGAAGTTTGCAACAAGCAGCATCCAGCGTCAAGACAGAAAAGCGCGCACCCACATTTTTCTGCAGTAGAAATATGTTGCGGGGCTTGCTCTTTCACAGGCATCGGTTCAGTTCAGCGAAGGTGACAAAAGGGGAAGTAATATTCGGATGCTGAAAGGAGACAAAAAACAATGGCGTGGAAATATGGCTCCCAAATCAACTTGGTGGACATACATGATAGAACTTGCCATGCGTGCGGACCTAGACCTTGCGCATTATGGCCTCTATGACCCTGCTCGGAGAAAATGTAAATGGTTGAAAGGGCAATACCCCCACCTATCCTAACCAGTCCTGATCCTGCCTGATACAGAGCTGATACAACCTGATCAGCTGTTCCAGTGAACCTGATATGTCCTGACATGTCGGTCAGGGCTGATCAGTTGAATTGGGATTTTCCGACATAAATGCGGACTTGATCCTCCTGGATTGGAAAGAAAAACTGATCGAACGGGAGGCCGTTGTAAACTGGTTACTGCGTTAAATGCAGCATTCACAGGGTGCCGCATGTCTTAGCAACTCTGTTCTGAACTTGTCCATCCCTTTCAATTTTACAGCCATCAGTCGAGTTGAAAAAAGCGGAAGGAATCGAACGGCGGGTGTCCCACTAGAACTGAGTTGGATTAAGGCACCGATATTTCGTAGGTGCGGACCATCTGCTCCAAAGTTTTGCTTATAGCACTAAGTAAAGCACTGTTTATAATCGATCTTATTCACCTGAAAGAGGCTGAAACACGACAAAGCTCACCGAGTTGCAAAACGAAAAAAAAAAAAAAAAGGGATAATCGCTTGGGAGATCATAAGTTCCTGGATATACATATAAACCCAGGGGTAATAGCACGAACGAAGCTGAATTGTGAGCTGGTGGTCAGTTGAAAGAAAAAAAAACGCTGACATCCGTGACATGGCCTAGTCCCGAATCAAACGAGGTTCCTGGCTCCTGTGCGACCACACACACACATTTTCACGGGGTGCGGGTCATCTGCGACCAGGTCTTGTTGAATCTGTTTAGGAAGAAGACGAACAACAAAAGAGGTAGAAGGCCAGGCAAGAAGAGAAGAAATGACGAGACACGTTCATATTCCCTGGAACTACCTCCACGGTCAATTCATATGCACTGGCCCAGGAATGCGTAGGACGGGGAACGCCCTGAACGAGCAGTGGGGTGCGGTTGCGATTGGAGAGCGAGGGAGAGGATGATACAGCAAGGTGAGCAGCCAACACCGGCGACCTCGGGTGAGGACAACGACGTCATCCTCGGACTGCGCGGCAACCCAATCCAACCGCTTCCCTCGCTTCCCATCGTGCGGTGGCGGCCCAGTCACACTCGCACCGCGCGACCGTCTACATGTACCACAGCACCACTCGCCTGCACGCCTCGCCACGGCCCGCGAGGACCGAGAGAAACATATACAAAGATCCACCCTCACTAGCACTGTTAACCGGGGGGAAAAAAGAATAAAAATAACTCGCCGCTTGTTCTGACGTACGGCCTGGTCCCGAATCGAACGGGGGTCTAGTTGTAATGTATTACCCAGAAATGCCATGTAAACTGGGTGCGGACCATCCGCTGCTAGGCTTTAAGATTGACGCTGTTTTGAACATTGGTAGGTTATCAACATTTCGGCATTTGCCAGCTCAAAATGCATTACATTTGAATATGTACAACATTTTGCAGGTCTTACCTTTTCACTCTGAGAGCAAATTTTACAACGGGAGAACGGGATATCCCAATACCGGAAGAGGCTGACAAAAGTTTTTGAGAACTGGCATATGGCCTGGTCCCGAATCGAACGGGTGTCCCAGTTGTGCTGTGAGAAGTTGGACATACACATTCAACAGGGTGCGGACCACCCGCTACCAGGCCCTTTAAAACGAGGGTCAAACCTGGTCAATCCTGACTTATTTTGATTGCAACTTTCAACTAGATATTGGCGGGATTGGTTTGAACGAGTCAATGCATGTGTTGGATTCTGCTGGAAGAAACTGCGAACGCACATAATTGAATAGGACCGGGACCCGCAACTCAGCCTCAATTGGGTTGCTACAACGACCGCTGTGTGTATGATGGTGAACACAACTCGAAGAGTAATTCGTTAATGAAAATGCCAGAGACTAACTGGGCTGTATGGTTCGGTATGGCCCACCGTGAAAACCAAAAAAACGGGGAAGAGTCCTAGATCGGACCCATGATTCCAGAGGTAAATGTCCTATATAAAGTGTGATGGGGGTGAACCACGCCTTGCTGTGAATCTTGGTAATCAACATCGCAGGACTTGGCTGAGTCGAATGCACAGTATGGCCGCCCAAACGAAACTCGACCCTGCCCGTGGTGGAGGCTCGGTATAAAGTTTTGTCAACAGGGCACATGGTGTAGTTGGTTATCACGCTCGCTTAGCATGATGCGATCATTCTGCGAGAGGTGTTGGGTTCAATTCCCAATGTGTCCATTTGTTTTAGCTCTTTTTCTGAAAGCCCTCATTCTCACCAGAGTCACTGTTTGCGGGTCAGCACTTCAGTACTAGTCCTGTACAATACATTTTCCTGCATCACGACTCTTCGGATCGTCAATTTAAAAGTTATCCACCCGTCCGTCCCACCAGCTGATCCACCTTCCGTACAGAAACTATATTTGAGCGCCTGGTTGCGGACCTAGGTAGGCAACTGTGCTCCATACAAATGTATTGGAATGGTGGAGTTTCGTGGACCAGTCTCCGATACCGATCTTATGAGCCGAAGGCCTGAATTCAGCATTGATTCAGCAGCCCGATGTGGGCGGAAGAAGGGGCCGATTGCTGCAACTGCGAATTCGGGGGCCACACTTGATTTTGTTTTCATAGTATACAAGCGAGCTGCAAGTACTAGTCACAAGATATGCAGGCAGAGTTGGGCTACAACGAGGACACCTCTCTCGTGGGGCGCACCGTTCAAAGTGCTCGAAGCCGGCCGCTATTGTGGAGGAGAGGGAGAGGAAGTTCAAGTTGAAGGACGTAAGGACTGGGTGGATACCAAGTGGATACCGTCCGAGTCGGACCTCGAGAAATCACATGCCGTTTACATGTTCAACGTCAACTCATCGGGATGCAACTTGACTACACTGCATTCAGGCATCCCTTTTGCTCCGCAGCGGCTAAAATGCAGTCCACATATAAACGGACTTGCGCCGAAGCCATCTCGGGTCGTCGTGGTTTGTATTTTCAATATTTCGGGCCAAGAAAACTTAAAGTTGAAGTTCTGACTGCGAGTTTGCTGCTTGAAGTGAGACTTCAACCGGTAGCGAGCTCTTTTTCCGCGTTTCCTAGGCGTCAAAAATCCGATAGCCATGACAACGCAACTTCAGGTTGCTTGGGGAGAAATTAAATGATCATCCCCTTTTCTACCCTACAACGGACACAACATAGCAACCGTCCATCTACTTAAAAAGACCGCCCATCTCACCCTCGCCCTCATTTTTTCAAACCACTACCCTCCCTTCACATCCGAATCCATTTCAAAGGCTCTCAGTGTAAAAATGCGTTTCGCCGTCATCACCGCTGTCATCGCGCTTTTCGCCACCGCCGTCAGTGCTGGCCACATGAACAAGGCCCGCCAGTGCTTCCCTTCCACCTGTGTATGCCGCCTCCTTCGCCATAACCTTCCTTGCTTATCCGGTATATAGGACTGCAACGAGGACGGCTGCACATCCAGCAGCCCCGCTTGCTGTGCAGTGAGTTCATATTGATCAATATTTTTCTCGCGAAATTTGTTACATCCCGATGGCTAACTTGAAATGTAGAATGGAAGCTGCCCGTGCTAGATCAAAACAGGGCTTTGAATGAACGACGGAACGGAAGTTGGTTGCAGGGCGGCCAAACTGGATTTAAATTGTATTATGTTTTCCCGATTTCCTTGCGGATCGTGAGCTGTCAACCGAATACCGTAGCAGACGAAAGCCTCGACGTGGATGTTCGTTACGGTTGCAAGTGGGAACGGTTGTAGCTTCCACACGGCCTGGATTGTATTAACACAGATCGAAACATTCTATCGGGAGCCATTGATGGAGAAGTTGAATGTTTCGCTTACTTGGAACGAAGGAGGCTAATGCTGTGAAGAGACGGCGCCAAAGGCTTGTTGTTGAGCACGGGAAACCACTCTTGGCCAGTGCTGCCGTTATTGGAAAATGAATTAACTTGTTTTCAAACATGGCAAAGCCAATCCGGTTGTCCGACGCTTCCCGGTGGGCTTCGCTTAACTCGCCGCTTATTTTATTTATGGCGTCGGAGTACTTATCCTAAGAGAATAAGTCTGTCGCTACCGTGAGCTAGATCCTACCCTCTGTCGACGGATACATGAACTAGGTTGCTCAAATGAACTGAATGTTGCCGCCGGAACGAGAAATTCATTTCTCCTTTATCGACAGTGTGGTCGGATGTTGTTTTGGCACTCATCTCCATTAGCAGAAAGATAGCCGAGCCAACTATGCGGCGGACACTGCAGTCTAAAGTACGGCAAGCTCCCAAACGCTTTCAGCGAGAGGCTCAACAAATCTTCAAGCTGAAGGTATTCGGATTTTAGCATTCCCGAATGCTGATCATGGTGTACTGAGATCGTGTCCCATCACGTCGATTGTTGTGTTGTCTACCCTCCAAGCCACGACGTCCGATATTTCAAGTGCCTCATCTTGGGTGCTAAATCGCTTCCGACCGTTGAGCCTAACTTATTATGTTAGCCCAAAGTCGTACCGATATGAACTACGGGAACCAACACTGCGAGCATGGAATTTGCGAATACTGAATGGAAGCATCAGGTTTTTCAAGCCTCGCACACGTTTTGAACTCACATTTGGATTGGATATTTTGGAAGGCAACGAACGAGACTGGGAAAACGAAAAGATTAAAATCCTCAGAAGAGAGCCACTCGAGCGTTGATAGACTCACCATCGGGACCCGCGAGGAACTGAAGATGTGGATTTCAATAAGTGACAAGGGAAATTCACAGGACCAAAGAGCCTCACGAGAACAACCTGCATGATCGCGCACACACTAGAACCATGGGATGGATGAGCTAGGAAGAAACACTCGCGGGCAGCGGTTATTCGGACCTCGTCAGAAGTGTTGTTTCTAGCGACACAAGAATCAGGGAACTAAAAATTGGGAAATTGAAGAACAAGGCGCACCTATGGTCCACAGTATCAGCGTGTCCAAGACTTGGTGTGTTTTCCTAGATGTCCAATATATCAAAATTCGGAGAAAATGTCGACTGTGGTACGCACCGCCTAAACTCGCTTTCTCGAGATCGCCAAAGATAGAAGCATAGGGAGCTCGCAATGACGACGTCGAGAACAGGTGTTGCGGACATCGCAGCAATTTTAACCCACCGCAGCTTCAACTCCAGAGTAGCCACCGCTGAAGTGGATGTCCACAGTTGAGCCTCGGAAATCAACCCAACGATGAGGCTGAAGAGGGAGAAAACCAGGGTCAGAACCATGATGGCCCAATTTCCGGACAGGATTCGGACTCGGTTCCCGAAGAATATCTATCATCTGGGTGTGAATCACCACCGAAACCGAAGATAGAAAATTACAGGGCACGGACTTGAACTATCGTGAGTGATATCGCCAAAAATGTATTCTGAAACTCAATGGAGTGTGGGGGGTTTTCGAGGACTTCGGAAGGAGGTCGTCCGTAGAAAGTGATTGTGAGCGAGTAAAGCTACAGGAAACCATTTGATACAACACGAGACGGGTATCTGGAGGAACCTCACCACATGTAGGGCGCAGATGCTTTCGGCGAGTTCCAGGAACCTAACTCAAGGTGTCAGATGAGAAGCGTTTGCGACACGGGACAGTGATGACCAAACCAAGCCAACCTTCAAGGCGGAGCCATATCAGCCGAGAAGAGGCAACGAAGGGAACGACGTACCGTAAGCTTGAGGAGAGCTGAATCTCGACGAAATTCGCGAAAATAGCGGACAGTCTGGAGTGTCTGTATGCCGAACAGAAAGACACCAAAAACAGAACCAATCTCAGTCGCCCCGTAAGTTCCGTCAAGGGAAGAGAAACTAGAGGACATCAAAGTGGGGAGATATAGTGGGCGAACAACCCTGTGGGGACCGGCGAAGCCAAGTTGCTGTCTAAGTACACGAAGATTTCGGACCTTCGTGACATCAAACATGATGTCGGGAAGCTAAGCCCGCAGTGAATATCATTGCGTCACCGAAGAGACCCAAGATAGATGTAGTTCTGGTCCGGTGTTGTGGCAAAGCCAGGCCCGTTTCAATGAATTTGTATATGGGCCGTGGTCGAAGAGTATCGAACCTCTTTGATTCGTCGTTCACGAGTTAAACAGCATTTCCTGAGGTTGACCTTGGCCACTCAGAAATCTTCTAAACGAATTCCAAGACCTCCCCTTGGGAAATTTTTGAGGTTTATAGCACTCTGCAGCGAGCCGATGACGTCGGCGTAGCGGAAACCTGAGATCGTTCCTTTCCAAATTTAAGCCTCCATCTGACCTGTACCGGCAGGCTCCGAAAAACGCACCCTGCAATTCACTTGAGCCACGTTTCTTTCCGCTTGGCTGGGCACGAGAATGGGATGTAGGGGCCGTGTGAAGCAGGCGAGTGCGCTATCGTCAGGTGAAGGTTAAGTTATCGAAATCCAAAGTGAGGTAAAGATCTTCGGTGAACATGGGGAGTTGACTTTCGGACCGCGTTGAGCATCGGCTACTCCTCAATTCACCTGGCCTCTCGTCATACATCGCGCAATGATAATCGCCGCGCCCGACAACCGCGGTTTAACTTCGGTGCCCATTGTCTCGCAGCGGCCATGTACGCTCTAGTAATCAAATTAAGCAAATCGAAAGTGGATTGCACTGTTTCAAGTCGTGATCGCAAAGAAAGCAAAATCCTGGCTGTCGTATCATATCAAGGATACTCCGGTAAACTGTCATCCACCAGTGCATGTGTACCTCTGATATTCATGAAAGACCACTGTTCAAATACAGTTGAGTCGATGACGCAAACGATGTTGGAATATGGGTACTCACATAAACGACGCCCGGTTCCCCGCGCCGATTGTTGACATCCATCATATCGACTTCGAAGTAAAATGGCCGGAGTCCGGCACACTCGAGTCTGTTGAACCAATCCTTGAAATTCGCAACCGATGTAATATCTGCGTTTAATGACTTGAGCAAGAGGAATTAATCCAGATTATGCGACAAAAACGCTCGCACCGTCAGACTGCCCGGTATTAACTGTGAGGATGAGCTGACCAAAAGGCAGCGGTTCTTCCCCATTGTCGGCGATTATGGAAAGGAGCGTGGCAAACTCGGAGCCCATGAGGTCCATCTACGAGTAGTGAGATGACTTGTGCGAGATGTGGCTATGTTGGATTATACCTTGAGAATGTCGATCCAATTATGACCGAACTCTTGCATGACACTCTGTAGGGAGCGGTATTTTTTCGCCGTCA